GAAAATGCGAGTTTTGCGGATGTTGAAAAAAGACATAGTTGTATTAGTCAAAGTAAAACTAATAGTAACAGTAATAGTAAAAGTAACAAACCAGAAAATCGTAAGACTCGTCCAGTCATTGTGATTAAACCGAAAGAGTCCAAACAACCTTGCGAAGATACTCGTAAGTTTTTGAAAACTCAGTTGGATCCAAAAACACACAAAATCAGTAATTTTAGGAATGGTAAAGATGGCTCCATTATTGTTGAGTGTGCAACAGGAGCAAACGTAAGTGATGTGAAAAATGGTATTGAAAGCAATCTGGGTGAAAAATATAGTGCTGTTGTTCCCACTTCGGTGCCAAGATTGAAAATAGTGGGCATGAGCGATCAGTTTTCCTCCGATGTCTTTATTGACTACTTACAAGTCAAAATGAAGAAATCGCTATTAATGATGTAAAAGTAGTAAACATGTTTGAAAATCCACGCTTCACTTATAACAAGTTTAGTGTTGTAATTGAAGTCGATGTCGATACTTATAAATGTTTGTTATGTGCGAAAAAAGTAAATGTAGGGTTTGATTGGTGCTCGATAGTTCCCGCGATTAAGGTGTTGAGATGCTTCAAATGTGCAGAATTTGGGCACAAGAGCATGGATAGCAAAAATTGTGATAGATGCTCTAGGTGCAGCCAACAACACAAAACGTCGGAGTGTACGTCAACTGTATTGAAATGTATTAATTGTTTGAAAATGAATAAAGAACGTAAAATGAACTTGGACGTCAAACATGCCGCATTTAGCTCGGAATGTTTGCTCTATAAAAGACTTTTTGATCAGAAGAAAAGCAGTTTGCGTTTCAATAAATAGCTGCCAAGTTCCAGGAATAATAATCAATTCGATTTTTGTATTTTAATATTGCGGGGTTGTCAACAAACTACGTAGCATTACATTACGGAAAAACGTCTTCTTTTAGTTTTATTATCTAAAATTCATATTGTAGAAACTGAAGCTTTGATCATTGTTGCTTGTTTATCATATTCTAGACACACTGGCGGTGTTGCTATTTATGTCAAAGAATCAGATCCATTCAACCTTCGTACCAACGAAGTTATTGATGGCAACTGGTTCTTGGGCATTACAGTTGTACGTGGCATGAAGATGGGTAATTATGGTGTTTTGTATCATTCTCCCAGTTCTAGTGACCAGCGTTTTGTTGAAGTTTTAGAGAACTGGCTCGAGACATTCCTTGATTCTAGTAAATTGAATATATTGGCTGGTGATTTTAATATTAATTGGCGTGATAACCATAATTCGAATCATTTGAAGCGTTTAGCTGAGTTTTTTAATTTAAAGCAAACGGTAAATGAATAAACGCGTATTTCCAGGCACAGTAGAACTTTATTTGACCACGTTTATTCCAATTTTGATTCCATTTGTTCAGTTACGGATACTGATTTGAAAATAACCGATCATGAGACTTTAGTGATTAATGTCTTAGACCATGTTAACGATAACGATAATTTTGTAAAATTGAAGTGCTGGAGGAAATATTCGAAGCAAGCTGTTTCAAATCTTGTTGAGATGAATCTACAGCTGTTCTTAATAACGATTTGAAAACGTGTACTAATCAACTAGTTGAGCAAAAGTTTGTTTCTTTGAAGAACTCGAACAGCTAGTACAATTTGGATCTTTTGCGTCTTAAACGGAAAAGGGACAAATGGTACAAAAAGTTTTGTAGATCTAATAATGACAATCATTGGACTAGGTACACAATCGCGCGTAATAAGTATTCACAATCGATAAAGAAAACTCGTTGTGAATATGTTCAAAGGAAGATTGATCAGCATCAAAACAACAGCAAAGAGTTATGGAAAATTTTAAAATCTTTATTAAAACCTAGTAATTGCAAACCGCGGTCCATAATTTTTAATGGCACATTAGAATAGTCAGAACAAGTAATTGCAGCTAAGTTTAATGATTATTTCGTAGACAGTGTTTCATTGATTAATCAATCTATTGAATTGGTCGATGAACCTGACGAAATAAAACAGCCAGTTAATAGTAGTTGTAGATTTGAAGTTTTTCACATTAGATGAACTTAGAGTTATTTGGTTTTCATTAGGAAAATCGGCTGGAGAAGATAATGTTAATGCTAGAGTTATTCAAGATTGCTTTCATGTCATTGGCCACATCTTTCTGGACCTTATTATTGAATCATTGCAGAATGGACATGTGCCACAAATTTGGAAGGAATCCTTAGTGATTCCTATTCAAAAAGTTGCTGGAACGATTAAAGCCGAAGAGTTTCGTCCCATCAACATGTTGCACACATTAGAGAAAATTTTAGAACTTGTTGTTAAAGGTCAGCTGTTGGAGTATTTAAATAGTAATAGTTTGTTGATACCAGAACAATCGGGATATCGGGAAGGTCATTCTTGTGAAACCGCGTTGAATTTGGTATTAGCGAAGTGGAAAAATAACTTGGAGTGTAAAGATACGATTGCTGTTTTTTTTTGGATCTTAAACGCGCTTTTGAAACAATTTCTATGCCCCTATTGCTACGATCAATCAAGCGGTTTGGAATAACGAGTACTGCATAGAAATGGTTTGAAAGCTGTTTGTCTGACAGAACTCAACGGACTGTTTCCCGTGGGGAAGTGTATTGGGGCCCCTGTTATTTATTATGTATATTAATGACTTGCGACGTGTTTTACGATTTTGCGACATTAATCTTTTTGCAGATGATACTGTGTTATTCATTGCAGCCAAGGATTTAGATGATGCCGTTTTACACTTGAATGAAGATTTGCGTTCTCTAAGTAGATGGTTGAAGTATAAGCAGTTGAAATTGAATACAAGTAAAACTAAATTAATGGTAATTTCACGGAATCGGTTAAATGAGATCGTCTCTGTTGTAATTGATGATGAGACTATTGATCGCGTTCGGGAGACTAAATATCTTGGCGTGATTATTGATGACAATCTTAAGTTTAACTCTCATATTGATAATGTCATCAAGAAAATTGTCAAGAAGTATGGAATTTTTTGTCGACTGAAAAACGATTTAACTATTGCCAGTAAAATACAGCTATGCAAATCAACCATCTCTCCTCATCTAGACTTTTGCCCTTCCATTTTATTTCTGGTCAATGCAACACAAATATCGAGATTACAGTGCTAGCAGAATAACATAATGCGTTTGATTTTGAGATGTAATAGATTCACTTCCTCAACTTTGATGCTAAACGCCTTACAATGGTTGTCGGTGAAGCAAAGAATTGTATATTTGACTATGGTGTTCATTTTTAAAGTAGTTAATGGTTTGCTGCCTCGATATTTGTGTGATCGAATTGAAAGAGGAAGTGCCTTTCATATATATAATTCTAGAAACGCGGTTGAAATAAGAACACCACATTTCTTGACTTGTGCTTCACACAATTCATTATATTATAAAGGAATCAATGTTTTAAATTGGGTGCCTAGACATATCAAACGTTCTGCAACACTTACAGAATTTAAAAGACACTGCATTTCACACGTCAAATCTGTCGTTTGAGCAGTTATACAGTTGATTGATTGTATCTTGACGAAGTTATCTATAACGGATTATTTTGTATGGATGGCAGTTATAATGACTTTTTAATAATTATTGTAGCACTGCAAAAACCATTTCTGTTCACCATGATGGTGATGATGGATTTTTTATATTTGATTTAATAGTAGTAGATTAATTTAAAAAAAAGTAGTCTACAAGGGTTTGAGCCTCGCGCACGTATTACGGATATAGTGGACTGAGTTTAACATTTGATAAACAAAAATACAATTTTGAAGCTTATTTGGAAGATACTTTGAGTTAGTAGTAAGTTTTCTGGCAAATGTTAAGCATTGCTGACATTGCTGAAAATTATGATAGCATCAGATTGCGGGGTTGCTAGTGTAATAGGATGCTTTGTTGATTGTTCATTAACTCTTGATTGCTTGTAATACTTATGAACATTTTAGGTGGACAAAAAGGCGAACTAAGAGGTGGACGCCTGAGCTTTTCCACATTTATATCACTGTGAAGCAACTGTAAACTCTAGAGGCAATTTATATCTGTAACTGAAACCAGTTCGATTTTGGTTGCTAACCTGGTTAAAATGTCATATTTAATTATCTTAAAGATAAATCGTCCAGCTCAAACATTTATAGGGGTAAGAGGTGGGACCGTCATCATCATCGTCATCACACATCCAAGAGGGTTATTTAAGGAACGCTATCAAAAGACGTGCTGCCGGGGCTTTCAGTGCACCACCGGTTCAAGACTGCTGCCTCAAATTTTTCCATCATCGTTCAACAACGGTTATCAATTCATGCACAGCGCAAAATTATCCCTCCGGCTAAGAAGGATTTAGATATTACCCTAGAATGGAAAGAACCTGAATCCTTAGATCTACGTACTTCAATTCACCGTCGATAGCAATAAATTTCTGATGGTGAACTTCAACAAAGACACTAACCAGGATTTGATCTTCAGCACCCACGAAAACCTGAATGCCACATACTGCTAATCCATAATGACTTGTTCGATGCTCGATTTCGAAATTAAAACGCATGAAAGTACTAAACGAGTCCACACATAATCATTTCACTGGATGCTTATACCTACCTTGACCACTTGGTTCCAGTCCTTAACACTCCACATACGTTTTACTAGCAGTGTATTTTCACCAATCCGAGAAAAGCAATAAATGGTCCTAACACTCTTTTTCTAAACTTATAAGACTCAGACGTCTAACAAGACTAAAACTTTAGTTCAGCATCATTTACAAGCACCCAAATACAAATTTCACTTGCTAGTTCTTGAACTCCTGATCTTCAAAATGATAGTATTTATCAACCGGTTGATTCAGTTCGAACCAACTTGTACTAGCAGAAAATTAACGTAAATTTCAATAAACTTCTGATAATCAGCCCAATCTTTTCTTCCAAACAGTGTTTTTGTCAGGACTAGGATGCGTAAAAATTCTCCCCGATAATTACCTGTCTAGGTTCTGCACAACACTGATTGGAAAATACTTGAATGCACTGAAGTCCTTCAGTTGTTCAAACTAGCTTATTACAAATATTTCGTACGTACGTTTCGTCTGTCCTGAGAAAGACTCTCTTTCAAACTAGACCTCCTGCACTGACCGTCAGTGTCAGCGTCAGTTGTTTGACAGCATCATCGTCGTTGAGCCGTGTGGACCGAATCTTCGGTGATGATATACGATAGTTTGCCTTCTGTAGTGATAAGGCGGCACAGTCTCCCCGGACATAAATTACGATCACCGACCTATCTCTTCGAGTCAACATACGTCGTCGTCTCGCCGGAGACAGCACGAGTACACGTTGCATGAATAGTGAGTGCATGATTAACGGGTGATCTTGCTTAGGAATTTTCGGAGCAGTTGTGCAATCCGGAAGAAAACGATAATGGAATGATTTGGAAGGTCAAATAGAATTTATTTCAATAGCTTTGAGTGCTACAATTTCGTGTCAACGTTTTCGAAGCTGTGAACGACGGTTGTGGTGGTGGCCAATCTTTTGGGGAAGAAAGAGTTTCTCAGGAACGGAGCCAGTAAGAGTGGATCCAAATCGGAGGGATTCTGTCGTCCCAGTATGAAAGTATATAGTAATCCCGAAAACGCTGTACTACAAACTCCTATGAGAGTGTAATATAGAAAGGACACGTGATGAATAGATTTTTCTATTTCAACGGGAGTTTGCACATTAGCCGCTACTGTAGCATTGAAGAATTCATATGTGCAACCTTCAACGGATAGAGGCTTAGTAGGATGAACGATCTCCTTCATGGCGATTGATATTTGAGCTCGGATGACAATGTAAGTCATTGTTAACAGACCAGTGCAAGTTCCGGCTAGTGCACTCTGTTAGGAAAGATAAATTAATTTTAAAACGCTGCTTTTGTCTAAATTTAACTTCTACAATACCTGTGCGTTGATCCATGGCAATAGCATTCCCATTAGAAATACTCCCAGCAATGGACCCAGAGAAATGGGAACCAAGCTCATTGACAGCTGAAGAACAGTTCCAAGTTTTTCCACCACCATCACTAGAACCACTGCTATGATGCCAAACAGCAACACCGTCCCTCGCATCAAGTAGCGTGTTTGTCGTTCGGAAAGCTCTTTCCTCAGGAACGGTTTAAAGAAGTCCTCCAAAACAATTGCAGCCAAAGAATTCAATCCGGTCGATAGAGAGCTCAGCGAAGCACTGAATATTCCTGAAATGAAAAGTCCTGCTAGCCCTGGATAATCACCAAACACTTTCATCACCAATATCGGTAGCAGCTGATCTTTCTCCTTCGCCAGCTTGGTTGTCAACGGATCGCAATCGTGAAAAGTTGCGTAAATCAGTAAACCGTTGTAGAAACAGGTCAACATCAAGCAAATAATGCCGATGGTAAACATCAGTAATGCCTTCCGGGCATCGGCAAGTGTCGGTAGCGAGAGATATCGTTGGATCATCATCTGATGAATTGCGTTTTTTGCTATCCAGAATGAACCACCTCCGAAGAAAATCGCCCATATGGTGGTTCTTTCCGTTGGATCCAAATTGAAGCTGAAATTATGGTCAACTGTAGTGCGTCTAAATTAAGCAACTGCCTTGCAAACGGTTATTACTTAGGGGGTTCAATTCTTCCGCTGGCCAAATTTCTCTCGATGAGTACACTCAATCCTCCAATTTCGGCAGTACCTTTCACAACGATCAAGATTAAAGCACCGATCATAATAATTGTTTGAATAACATCCGTCCACACCACTGCCTTGATGCCTCCCTGAAATCAAAGTTGTCTGATAAAAAAGAGGACCATTGACTAAACGGCGAGTCCTGTCAACAAAATGGACTTACAACACTGGTGTAGAAAATGCAAACCGTACATACGACCGAGGTTATAAAATGCACGTTTATACCCGAAACTGCAACGAAAAAAAATAGATTGTTTTAATATGTGAATGAAGACACTGGCTTTCAGAACTGTTGTCGTAAAATTTTAGCTTAGTGATCAATTTTTTTTCATTTGACACCACATATACAAGATCAACGTAATCAAATTCGGTCATTTATTTTCGTACATTTTACCTTCAACAAAAGTATATTGAGTAACATATAATAATAATACTTTTTTTTTCATTTTCTAAGGATTATTCCATGATATTTATGAGCAAGGGGAACGCCAAAGGAAAATCCAAGGGCAATCTGATTATAATCAATTATAATATTTATAATCAAGAAGTTTGTGGGGAAAATTAATCCGGAGCATCATTCCTTGGACATTTAGGGTTATACCCAAGTAACAATTCAGTAACCATCCCAAGTAACAATTCAGTAACCAAGCATTTCAAAGTGTAAAAAATTCCTGATTAGTAATTCAGCTTTTTGCTGTTTTAAAAAACCTTTTATAGTCTGGCAAGAAAGTCAAAAACTGTCTTGTTTTAAATATAAATTTAAAACAGTTCTCAATCCCTCATTAAAACTGCTCTCTAATTCAAGCATAAACGTCATTAGCAATTGTTTATAAGTGTCTTGATAAAATAGTTTATAAACTTGTTCAATCATTATAAAAGCAATCATAACATCATTAGGTTTTGCATTAGAGCAAAAAGCATTTATTTTTGCTTTTTAGGCTTTTTAAAGGGCATCATAAATTTTCCAATTACTTTGTTTACAAATTGAGCTTAATATATGGTTCCTCATAGTAAATAAAAGTCAAATTTATGACAATGAAATCTCGAAGGATAGAAGGATGAAAAATTCAAGTCGATTTCAGCCAAATTTACCTCTTTTGGAAGAACCAGCACACCATCAACGACTAACCATCTCGCGGAGAAGAGTAAAGTGAGCGGGGCCCTCGAATTCATAAAACATTGTCGAAAGTCGAAAAACATACCAGCCTTTTCCAGATCTTGCGAATAGATGACAATCGAAATAACAACCGGCAGCAAACCACTGAAACTGTTCGTTACCGGATAATTGCTGGTTTCCGATCCATAGCAGTGATTTTATTCGGCGAAAGAATCAACTCTTCGCAAATTTCATTCAAGAGTACATCCCTGCATCGTTGGATGGTGCACTTCTGTAACTATCCGGAAGAAGGGGATCTTTTTCGGGAACGATTGCGCTTTCAGCTGTTCGAAATCCGAAATGTTGCAAAACCAACTATCTGATGTCGTTTTCGTTTTTGCGGTGTAGCACTGGTGTAGTGTAAGCAGGAATAAGCGCGAGTCTTTGACAGCTCAACATTATTTGTTTGTAAACAAAGGTGCATCCTATATCTACACCCTAAAATATTTCGGTGTACGGCAGTGTAGCACCGGTGTAGCTACACCGCAAAAACGAAAACGACATGAGTAACTGCTCCCAATCCATCGGGAGAAAACCGCCTGGAAGAACACTGGATCCCACAGCGCAACTAAATATCGAAAGATAAACAAACTTTGACGTTTAACTTTTTGCAGGCAACTTTGCCTCCATAAATGCTGCCACAAATCTGAACGGGTTAGGATCAAGCAAAATGGCCTTAGATAAATACAATTCAGCCTGCAAGTTTTCTTCATAAAAGCCATTTTAAAACCTTATAAATTTGTTAAGGATTTCTTGAAAGCCAAACAACTTTTTCACAAATGACCCATGAAAATCAAGTTTTATGCCACCGCCATGTTACAATTAGTTTGCTTGTTTTTTACAATCTTCGATTTTCAATCTATATTTCCTTGAATTTAACTATATTTTGGTAAATTTGCAAAAAGCAAACATTTCAATGCGAAAATCATACAAAAAACAATCTCAGCCTAGCTCGATCTGAAGAATAATTTTTTTTTTTCAATATAAAATAATTAGTCAAATCGGCGTTTTACAAGGGCGGACTTATTTTTTTCGATGTTTTCACGTAGATTTCACATAAAATTTAAGAGAACTTCAAAGGAATTCGTAAATTAATTCCTGGAGAGTTTGCCAAACATGTTTTGAAGAGAAATCTACGGAATTTGTGAGGATAGCAGCAACTAAATTCTTAGGAAACATTCAATGTGATTAGAAATACAAACGAAGGAGTGAATTTCAAATGAATTCAATGAACATGCTGAAAATTATTGCAAAGTGTTTCTTACTGAAAAGAACTCCATGGTAATACCGAAAAAATTTGAAGAAAATTAAATTCGTAGGAGAGTCCCAACATTTTGAAAAATATTTCAAGGGAATTTAGTTACACATTCCCAATTTATTCCGGTGATATTTAGAACATTCAAAAACGCGTTCAAAGAAAATTTTGAGGAGGATTTACGAATGTTTTTAGAATTTCATGAATAATTCCATGGGAACTTCTGGCGAATTGAAAGCAAACGCTGAGTAATCAAGCTGCTGCCGTTTGTGGTGAAGAAAGAAGAAGGTTCAGTGAGCAGTAGTGAAGCATTCGAGGATGCGGAACAGCGTGGAGCTGGCAGCATGCCTCGTGCGGTTCGGTCGACAAGAGGTGTTTGGCCAAAATACTACGATGACTTTGTTGTGGACTTTGCGGCGGGAGCTGCATCCTGTGTCGTGGAGGAACCATACAATTACCGTGAATCGATGCAGAAGATTGAATGGCGGAGTGCCATGAAAGACGAGTTGGCGTCTCACGTAAAGAACGGAACCTGGGAACTCGTACCTTTACCACCAGGCAAGAAAGTGGTAGGTTCAAGATGGGTGTTTAAGATTAAACATGACGAGGAGAAAAGAATCGTTAAGTTTAAGGCTAGGATCATCGCTCAAGGGTACACCCAAACGTTCGGAGATGATTTTGATGAAGTGTTGGCGCCTGTTGTTGGCCATGCAACATTGCGAACGTTTCTGGTTGTTGCCGCTAAGCAGAAGCAAGTTGTACGTCATTTGGACGTCAAAACGGCGTACCCTTTACGGTAGCCTGGAGGACGAAATATTTATGCGAAAACCACCGGGGTTTGAGGACCAGGAGAAGATGACATCTCAAACGCAGCATCTACGGCCTACGCCAGTCAGCCAGGTGCTGAAACAGGCGTTTAAACGATGCATTGTGGATCCATGTTTGTAAACTCGGAGCAATAGGGTAGAGAACTACTTCGGCTTAATCGCCTATTTTGGGCCTATCGAGCAGAAAACTTCAAATAAATCCATGATTTCAGAGTTAACAAGTCAATTATGCGTTTGGTACGATACTTTAGTTTATAAGGTACGGAACGAAGTCACTGAGAACGCTTGATATGAAGGTTTACACCCATTATTCCCAAAAACAAAAGAAGCGCTCCGACCGAATCAATTTTTATCTTCATCCGATAGGCCGAGTTTAGAATCCGTAGGCTGAATTTGGCGTCAAGAAGCAGTGTTAGAATTTTGACAATATCTCAACGACTGGTTTGTCTTTATCAAATCTTACGGTACATACGGAAAGGTAAATACATTTGGAAGCCATCAGTAATACTAACATTCCGTTTGGTGCTAAACTACGCTAGATTAAGAAAGACTAAGTGCGGGTTGTGCTTAATAGGCCGGAAATTGGGTAGTTAACCCTAACGGAGTCAAATGTTATCTCCTGGTTTACGTTGACGATTTCCTGATAGAATACACAAGCGAGGAGGAGGTTTATCGGATCTGTGAAAGCCTGAACGAAGAATTCCAGCTAAACTGTCTGGAAGAGATGCGACACTTCCTAGGCATGGAAGTTCAACGAGAAAACGGCATCTACAAGATAAGCCTGTCTAATTACATCGACAAACTCATTGAGAAGCATGGTATGCGGGATGCGCCGATGGATGTCAGTTACCTGAAGAGGAATGAAAAAGAAACAGTGTTTGAAGATGGAACGAAATATCGTAGTCTGGTGGGTGGATTGCTGTACTTAGCCGTTAATGTGCGTCTGGATATTGGTGTATGTGTAGCTATTCTCGGACGGAAAGTCATTGCCCTGTGTGATTCGGATTGGTCAGCGGCGAAGAGAGTGCTGTGATACTTGAAAGGAACGAGCAATTATCAGTTACGGCTAGGAGAAGACGTAGATCAACCAATAACTGGTTATGCAGACGCCGACTGGGCCGTTGACACGGATAGCAGACGTTCTACGACTGGATTCGTGCTCTCGCTTGGTGAAGGAGTTGTTTCGTGGGCGAGCCGTCGACAGCAAAGCGTTACCCTATCAAGTAAGGAAGCGGAGTATGTAGCACTTAGTTAGGCCAGCCATGAAACTTTATGGGTGAGGAAGCTCCTCTGCGACTTTGGCGAAGCTCAGGATTCTCCAACGCTCATCAAGGAGGATAACCAAGGGTGGTTGGCCTTTTTCAAAACCGAAAAGTCGAGTCGTCGTTCCAAACACATAGGCACGAAGCAGTGTTTCATCCAGGAGCTCTGTGACAGGAAGGACATCGTACTGGAGTACTTTCAACAGACCTTATGATCGCAGATCTTCTTACGAAGCCCCTGGGACCTGTGAATCACCAGAAGTTCTGTAGTATGATCGGATTTCAGGTGAAGACGTGAAAAGGCTGCTCATCATCGTCGGGATACAATGGTCACTGTCGGGATACAATATTCACCTGTTCACTATACCGATCTTGGTCCGTCATGTGCATTTGCCGTACCTTTCGAGATTCACTTAATGAAGTGCAAGAGTAACAAGAAGTAAACATTCTGTGTCAGTCCAAACTAAGTTCTTGTCAGAATAAGTTCGTGTACTATTACCGTTGATGCTAAAGTTAAAAGTATTTTCGCGTGTGTAGTTTTCTTTATTTCTGTGCCGAATTCTCGACGCTGTATTCCGCTGTTTTTCTCACAGAACTCCCGTCAAATAATAGTGGCTGGTATTCAGTTAAAAGATGTTTTCTTGTTTTGTTTGTTTGGCAACTCTTACAAATATCGACAATGTCACAATGTGACAATCGACAAATAAAAAATAAATAAATAAAATAAATAA